TGGGCTTGATGTTGGTCTTTGTTTCAATCAGTTGAAACACTCATGGGGGAGGACAGAGAGGAAGAATAAGGGTTTGAACTTTGGCTATATAAGTGAAGTACCTTTCTATCAATAGTTTAATCAATTACTGTACAGATCTTTCACATCGTCCTTACGAATTAGGGTAGTAAAACAAGGAAAGAAAAATCGTAGATTTGTTTTGAATGCTTAAATTTTTTTTTTAATAGCAAAAGAATTATATTAAATGAGTACAAGGGGTACTCAACCCGTATACATCTATAAGATCATCAAAATACTAGCTTTGGGGTCTAAAAGCAGAAAAACAAAAGCCACCCCTGTCTAAGAATTGGGAGCTATCTTCCCACCTATCCTCTAATTCTTAGTAATTAAACATCTCACTGGATCAGAAATCCAATCTATAAAAGAAATGTGTTCTAGATTCAATAGAGTTCTAACCCAGTGAAATGAGCAAGTTTGTACACGTTTGAACAACTTATCCTCATTGAGTTCCTTTTGTTGGAAGGCGGTTTCATTTCTACTCAACCACGTTGACCACACTATGGCATACCACATCATGTTCCATCCCTTTTTCAAATTTTTCGGGCCCTTTAACCATCTGTGTTGGTGGAAGACCTGCATACATGTGTTTTCGAGGACATAACATAGCCCCCACCAATTTATACATCTAGTCCATAGCTTGTAAGAGACTTTGCAGGATAGAAATAAGTGATCTGTGTGTTCATGGTATGAATCGCACCAATAACACATGATATTTTGAGTGTCATGTAAAATTCCACGTGTTGCCAAGTTGACCTTTGTAGGGATTCTATTTAAAAGCATTTGCCATGAAAAAGCAATCACTTTTGATGGTACCAGTTCAGCCCATAGCTTTTTATAGTCGAGCTTTTTGTTTTCATCCTTGTTTGCAAGCCACTCATATGCCGACCTTGTGGTGTATTTACCCCCATCTGCTAGTTTCCAGCTCCATGTGTCCTCAGCATTTTGCACCAGCTTTGTGTCCTTTATGGCCTCAAGCAGTTTTTGTAGTGAGTCCTCTTCCCAAGCTCGAAGTGTTCTTCTCCACTGTAATTTCCAACTCCAGCACCCTTCTGTCCATTGGCCCATATCTTGTATGCTACAATTATTCCCTGTGGCTAATGAAAAAAGTCTAGGAAAAGTGTTAGCTAATGACTCCCCCCTCACCCACACATCTTTCCAGAATTTAATGGACTTCCCATCCCCCAAATTCAACTTGAAATTTGATTCCAACCATCCTTCTTTAATTCCTAAGTTTGTGTTTAATTTGCATTTGTCTTTCCACCAAGATGATCCTATGCCTCGCTCTTCTCTCATCCTTTCTAGCCAATTCCCTTCATCCCTTCCATATTTTTCTTTTAGTACCCTACTCCATAAACCCTTCTCTCCTCCAATCATCCTCGCCCACCATTTTCCGAGCAAGGCCATGTTAAACAATCTCAAATTTTTTACCCCTAGACCTCCCTCTTTTTTTGTACAGCAAACTCTATCCCAAGACACCCATTTTTCTTTTTTTGAATGCTTAAATTTTATTGCTAAAAGATCAACGGTTAGAAAGAGATCACCCTTTGTTGAATAAAATTCTAATTTGGTTGATAAAAAAAAAAGGTTAGGAAGAATATTAGAAGCATATATAAAGTGGTAAATTATCTTTCATAAGATTCTTATGGTAGAAAGTGAAATTTTAAAGCAATAACAACGTTAAAAAATAATTAAAATCAATCCAAAGTCAAACGGTGATACTCAACCAATCTGTCCAAGACTGCATGAGAATTAAAAAGGCATAACTAACAAGAGCATCTGCAATTGCTTCCCAATCTGAATAAATATTATACTTTGCTGTTCAAAAAAAAAAAATTGCTTCCTAATCTATGCTTATGTGAGCAGACCAATGAATCATTCTATTGATGATGTTAGTTTTTTCTTTTTAATAAAAAAGATAGAGATCTAATACCTGAAGTTAATTTGGCTCTATATGTAATT